CTATTTGTACTAATTAACCAACATATAAATTCAACAATGCTTCAAATACCCTGCATCAAACTATGTGGAACCAAGAACAAGGAGTATGTTTTAAAAAAAAAAACAAAAAACAGACGCTCCAAGTCATAGATTCTCTACGACTATAGGATGGTGTGGGGGCAGGGGTGCTATCAAAATCACCTGGAGCAATTTTTGCAGCCCAGGAGTCTATTTCCCTCACCTCCAACACCCAGTTCTAATAGTACCTACACTCAGGGAGGGAAAGGCTAGCTTCTGGGAGAAGAGGAACGGGGGCAAGTAATTTGAAAACATTTGTCAGGGAATTCTGAGAACCAGCAATATATTATATGCCCTATCCAGTTACAACTACAGTCCCAAGGGATGAGTTAGATGGTGTAGATGGTGTCCATTTCTGTGCCCGAATAGAAAAGACTGAGGAAAGTACAGGCAGGGAACGACAGGGTGCCATAACGAGCAAATCAGGATCTGGTGGTAAAAAGCTTACCAACAAAGGGCCAGGTGAAACAACAATAACAAAAATGTTTGAATAAAAAGGTATATGAAGTCAAAAGGCACAACGGCCTGAACTGTTAGCCAGGGGATGGGTCATCTCGGAGATTTCCACAGCTCAGGCAGCATCACTGTGCTCCAGCATAATGCAGTTACCGATATCACGGTTCTGAAATTAAACTGTATTTAAGAGAAAGCATTCAAGTCAAATATCTTTTAATGGATTTCTTTCTAAAATGGCTAGATTCTCTGACTGGATCAAGAGTCACTGTTCTACTTATGTAAAAATGATGCATGAGGGGCGCCTGGGTGGCTCAGTTGATTAAGCATCTGCATTCAGCTCAGGTCATGATCTTGGGGTCCTGGGATCCAGCCCTGCAGCAGGCTCCAAGCTCATCAGGGAGTCTGCTTCTCCCTCTCCCTCTGCCCCTCCCCCCTGCTTGTGCTTAATTCTCTCTCACTCACTCTCTCTCTCAAATAAAAAAATAAAATCTTTTAAAAAATTATAAAATGATGCATGAAAAGCAACATGGTTTAGCGGGGAAATAGAGCACGAGTTCCAGAGTCAACAGATGTAGGTTCCGGTGCTCAAGAGGTTTTGTAGTCTCCAGCACAAGGAATGTGGCTGAAATAGGTGAGGACAGGGAGAGTATGCAGAGTTTGAGGAGAAATTTGAGAGTTTGCTGGGACAGGACCTGAGGACCACCAACACTTCAGGGATGATAGAGGAGGTAGAGGAGCTTGCAAACAAGACACAGGGACGCAGGAGTAATCAGAAACATGGAAGAAAACCTGAAAAATTTAGGGTCACGGACAGCATGACAAGAGAGTGTTTCCAGAAGGAGGACAGTGCACTGTTTCAAATGCTGAATGGTAAAGCTAAACAAACAACTGAAGAATATTCCCTGGACACAGGAAAATAAGAGGTCATTAGCATCTTGGTTAGTACAGATTCAAGAGAAACAAGTAAATATGACTCTTTTAAGAACTTTAGCCACGAAGGGAAGAACAGAAAGGAGACTTAGCTGGGGATGAGGGGCAATGTTGGCATGTGAGTTTTTTTTAAATGGAGAAGAAAAGCTTACATATGTTTAGATGCTGACGGGAATGAGCTAGTAGAGACAAAGATTAAAGGCACAGCAGAAAAGAATGGCCGACAAACGGAGTAAGGCCTCTGAAAATGCGGGAGGAAATGGGAGCCACTGCACAGCGGAGGGACTGGACTGAGGAGAAAGGGAGGAACAAAGGAAGGCAGACCCTGCTGCAAGGACCCTGAGGGAGTTCCTGCCTAATGGTGTCTGTTTTCTCTGAGAAGTAGCAGCTAGGTCTTCCGCTAAGAGGGAACGGGCCTCAAGGTGAACAGAAGAATTAGAAGCTTGAGGAGAGCAGAGATTTTAAACTGTCATCAGGGAGAATTCAAGAGGAGTACAAGTCCCCCCTCCAGTCTCCTCTTTGAGCTCACCCTGGAAACTGTGGACTCTGTGGCCATGAGAAATGATTAGGATACACTCTGAATGGCCAGCTTTAAAAATAGGATTCTTTCTTTTGTGCTTCAACCAGTGCCCTACACACCTCAGTGCACAGAGGAGAGGGACCTGGATTTGAATGTGTATTAACGTGATAGACATTTCTGTCAGCACATTCCAAGAAATCAATTTTAGGCTCATATTTTAGTAAACAGCTAATATGAAAACATAACACTGAAAAATATAATATGTAATCAAATTGAGGCAAATTAAGACAAAATACTGCAGTGAAAAAAGGCTTCAGTTATTGCAGGTTTCTATTCAGAATTAAATTTCTAGTATTAAATGTTCTTTTTCAATTTGTTTTGGGTCAAGAGGTTATTAACACCATAAAAAAGTTAATAGAAAAGTAGGGTCCAGGACAAAGATGTGTTATTACATTTTGCATGAATGCCTGTTATTAGGAAATAATCAGTTCCTAAAAACAACCATTCCTAGTTCATTAAGGGACAGACAATTACATCAAAACCCATCTCCTATTATATTTTATTTACCAATTAGTATTCTAGAGACAAGAACACAAGTTATAATAGAAACTATACTTCTATGTCTACAACTGTTTAATAAAAGACATAAAGGGCAGGGCGCCTGGGTGGCTCAGTCATTAAGCGTCTGCCCTTGGCTCAGGTCATGATCCCAGGGTCCTGGGATCGAGCCCTGCATCGGGCTCCCCACTTAGCAGGGCTCGACAGGAGGCCTCCTTCTCCCCCTCTCACTCCCCCTGCTTGTGTTCCTGCTCTCGCTGTGTCTCTGTCAGATAAATAAATAAAATCTTAAAAAAAAAAAAGACATAAAGGGCATATAATTTTTTTAATCTAAATCACATAGTTTATTTCCAAATTTTTTTCAATATTATGCATATTCATTTTTTTCCCTCTCACTCTGGCCTGAAATCCTAACTGAAATCTGTAACTAGAAGGAAACAAGAATCAATATATAGGGATAAGGGACAGCTATTTAAAACATGCCCTTTAAGAATGATTGCAATTGGCCAAAGCTCACATGAACCATAAAAAAAAAGAACAAAAATCAAAAGCACAAAAAGATATTTATGAACAGTCAAGAATTTAAACAGGGTAAGGATTAAAAATGTTGATGAGTATAATTGGGAGTATGGGGCAATAGGAATGGCCTTAACATTTTTTTCTAGATCATTCAGAACTGTGGTATCAGTGACTGTGATGCTCTTCAAGCTGCTGAAATCTCTGAGGTGACCCACCCCACAGTTAACAGTGCTCTGCCTTTTGACTTCCTATTTCTTTTTGAGTATTTGTGTTATTGTTGTTTCACAAGGCCCTTTGCTATTAAGCTTTTTACCGTCAGACCCCATTGAGCTCCTTATGGCACACTGCCCTTCCGTGCTAGAACTCCCCTTAGTCCTTTCCATCTGGGCACAGAAATGCACACCATCTAACTTACTAAGAATGTATGGGAACGTAGTTAATATTCTAAGCTAAAAGACTACATTTTCCGGCCTCACTTGCAGCCAAGATGGCCACGTAACTCAGTCTGAGCCAAGGAGGTAGAAGGAAAAATGCTGTGGGAGGTTTTTAGAATAGGACAGCCCTTCTTTCCTGTTATTTGGGAGATGGGTGGAAAGGCAGGAGCATCAGAAGCCACCTTAGACAATGGAGTGCCCTTAAGTATGAGGGTAGAAGCCACACACTTTAGAAGTGGAAGATCAAAGTAGCATAAGTCACCAAGGTCTTTGTGGGACTGCCACAGTACCCCTGAAATACCTACCTCCAGGCTTTATTTTCTCATACAAAGAAAATCCCAGAGTTCCGGGATCGAGCCCCATATTGGGCTCTCTGCTCAGCAGGGAGTCGGCTTCTCCCTCTGCTCCTCACCCTGCTCGTGCTCTCTGTCTCTCTCTCACTCTCCGTCTCTCTCTCAAATAAATAAATAAATAAAATTTTTAAAAAAAGATATCCATGAAATACTGGCAAGTCCAATAAGTAGATTAAGAAAAAATACATTAAGTATAATCCTACTTTTTATTTAAACTTTTAAAAAGGGTGTCTGTCAGTTGCATGTGTATATATGAAGACAAAAAAGTCTGAAAACTTGTGCATTATACTGTTATTGAGGCTATTTCTAGTGGATAAGATTATGTAGAACATCTACTTCCTTTATTACTGGTTAGAATTTTTGTTTTTAACAGCGAGCAGGTATAACCTCTGTAATTAGAATAAAATATGCCACGTATTTGATATTCACATATCTAAAGAGACAACATATTATTCTGGCTTTATCTTATGATTTTATTAAAAATTTTTGGTTGAACTACTTTTATAATGATATTTTCAAAGTAGAAAATTATACTTATTTTAGCTATCAACAATCTCTAATATACAAAATATATTTAAGGCACAGGTCAAATCTATTTTTTTTAATATCTAATTATAAAAACAATAGCTTGTTACTGAAATGGGTTATGTTTTATCATAATTGGTGGGATAGTAAATCATGAATCTCAAAGGTAAATATAAAAGCGTATCCATAGGAATTATGTGTAAGAACAGTAGGAGTGAAAACAGACTTAGCATACTCATTACTAATCCCACATTCTCAAAATCCACAAAGATTAACATTAAAAAAGGGAAGTTTCCTCCACCTATTAAAATAAACTTTGCATAAATGACTTGCCTAGAGTGATTTACGTATTGAGCAATAAAATAGTAGAGAATAGAATAAAAATTAGTAATCTACTGCATAGAAATAACCACTCACCTAAGCACTCAAAGGGATCTAAAAAGTTCATGCAGGCAACTGCTTAGGATTTATGAGGGGAACAAGCCATGAGCAACCCCTGCCGTGTTTTCTCTGAAATTCACCCTCTAATCTGGTAACTTGTAACCTAGAACAATGACTTCCAAAACATGCTGCCTCTTTTCCAATCCTCACCATTTGATTCATGCAGGTAAAACTTAGTCTCCCTTTTAGGTAAGGACCTGCACATACCTTCCCACTGGCCGGTCAGCACCAAGGTCCTGTTAATCACCACATCGATTTCCGTAGCTCCATCTTCCACAGCCAATCTGATCTCTTCCAATCGTGTTTTTAAATGAGTCTGTCCAGATGGAAAGCCAGTGGCCACTAGTAGAGAGAGAGAAAGGGAAGGAGGAAGGAAGGAAGGAAGGAATGAAGGAAGGAAGGAAGGAAGGAAGGAAGGAAGGAAGGAAGGAAGACAAATTTCATTTGGTAAGTATCTTAATAAGGAATTTCATACAAAAAAACAAAACAGCATTTTGACCAAAGCATTAATGACATTAAAGAGCTTCACGCCTACCTTACAAAGTGAAGTGCAAAGAAATAGAATGTTATCTCATATAGTATTGGTGTTAGGATGAATATTAGTATTTTATAGTTTGAAAAACCTGAAATTAAGTTTCTGCAGAGATGCTCATGAGCGGGCTTTAAGTAAATAGAAATTAAGAAAATATGTATCCTCACAGTGATAGTCATAAAATAGTAGCTATAGCCCTGTCTTGATGGACACTGGTTAATTATTGATCCTACTCTTAATTAAGTTGGTTACCACTGTATTCTTGATTTAATCACTCACATTTATAGCTACTGCAACCAAACTGCAATATAGGTTCTTCCCAATGCCTATCTTAAAATGAAGACCAAGCAGATGAGAATAAAGCGAAGCGATTGCAGGAAGGAAAAGGACCTAATATTGTCCACAAAATTGGGGCAGGGGCGAGTTGGGAAGAGCAAGGCCAAACACAAATTAAAAAAAAAGAAAGAAAATACACTACACTTCTGAAAAACCATTAACATTTTTCACATGTGCATCATTAAGTCCATTTCCATTACTAAATATAACCTTTTGTATTTCCTTGATGTTATTAAATTCCTTGGGTCTGCTATCTTAGAGGAAAGCATGTTTCCCTGTTGTATAAAAGAAAAGCTGAATTGAATGAGGCTGATGAAAAATTTAAGGTAGCTGCCAAACACTTTCGGAATCTTCACAAATAGCTTGTATATCAATACTATGAGTTTCTTTTGATCATCATCTTTTTAGACTCCTTTTTTAAAGAACCAAGATATTCCTCTTAACATCTTCTAAAAGTACAATCTAATTTTATATCTATCCATCCAGACACACTCACATACACTCACACACTCACCTACACAGAAGTTTTAAAGACTCTTTTTTCTTTCATGTCCAGTCCTGTTGAGTCTATCTTAAGTGAGTAACTCCTGAACATACTCTCTTGTCCTTACCTCCCCGGCTTTGGGGTGGCACTCCTCACACCTCTCACTTGGACAGTGATAAGTCTCCCTAACTCCCTGTCACTCCACTCTACTGGATCCACGACCACCCGCGTAACTTACTACATCATGCAGCAGATCATGACATGCCTTTGCTGAAAATCCTGCAGTATCCTCCCCAAAACCAGAATAGAGCCCAAATGCCACCACCGGGCCATTTTCCCCTATGTGATCTGGCCCCGATCTACCTTCCCAGCTTTAACTCCCAGAGCCCCCTTCCACCCCCCACTTCATCCCAATTCAGATCCAACAACGACAAACCACTTGTGGTTCCCTCAATGTGCTTCTGTGCCTTCACACAGGCTAATTCCTCTGTCTAAATGCCATTCCCTGTCTTACCAACACCGTCAACTCCCCCTTCCCCTTTGAGACCCCCAGCAGTTATCATCTTCCCTGTGAAGAATTCCCTTACTCTCTTGAGTGTCACCAACCTCTGCAAAATAAATCAATCCCTGCTCCGAGTTATAACTGTACCTTCTGCGTATCTTTATTGTCATCTTTTACATATAAATTACTACATATCCTGCATTATGACGTTTTAAACTTGCTTACTCCTCCTAAACAAGTTAAGTTTCCTTAAGGACGGGATAAGGTTCTATTTTCTTGGGAATGAATGTGGTCTGCTACTTCGGAGGCAAGCAGATATGGAGAGAATGAGTAAACAGAAATCATTAAATATATAAAGCTAACTCAAATCATAGTATAAAACTGTATATAAAACCCCCAGGTGTCTGAGTTGAAGAATTGGAAACAGGTTGAGAGACAAGAGCAAAAGCCAAAACAATTTTACCGGAAGCCACTGGGATGGTACAGCCCGAGGCCTTCAGTGCTTTAACTGCATCACACACCCGCGCGGGGTAGACACAAACAGCAGCCGTCGTAAGGCCTGTGACGAAAGAAGTCGTAACAGCCTGCTTTATGGGAAGTTCAATTTGAACAATAGGCTTTTAATTATTTACACCACCACCCTGGCAGAAATCAGAACGAGAGGAGAAATAATTCCTCTATGACGTTGCACTGAATGAAAAAGTTTTGACTCCCCAACATTCCCTTCCAGTTCTTGACAATAGGGACCTTTTTCTCCTTGTTCAAGACACAGAATAAAATAACTGTGATGCACTGGTCTTGGAGGTCAATATAATGCCACTTTTTTAAGATTCCTAAGCGGTAAACTTAATGGTCTTGACTCAATGAGAATATTATATTTCATGTAGGTAACAAAATCCAGATTTGTACAGCTAACAGACAGTGGATGAAAAAAGTGGATGAGAACCTGACAGGGTAGTATAGCAAAATGACATTTAACTGATCTTATTCCCTCTCTTGCAAGAAATAATACAATCTGGATCTGGAGCCCTCACTTGGAGGAATAAGCTCTTAAATTTAAAAAAATCAAATAAAAATCAAACAGCCACTATAAAACAAAGCAAGAACATAGACTCCTATGAAGTTGCTACTTTCAACAATGCCTATACATAGGTGGTGTTTTTACTGTCAACCCAAAAGACACATAATAAATATTTTTCAAAAGCTGTGGAGTTGTTTAGGTCTATAAATTATCTTCAAATTATTTGGGATAAAATACCTGCACTGGGCCAATGCAACATCTCCAGTTGCATATTCATTACTGACAGGCACTCGGGAATCATGAAGCATCCCTCCATCGAAAGATGTGGCTCCTAAAATCAGCCCAGTGAGTACCATGACACATGGTCTTGGAAACACCCTTTAGCCTTCCAGACCTCGGTTTCCTCGTTTAGGAATAGGGGATCAACTCTCAAAGGTCTCCTCCATTCCTAAGATGTTAAGATTCTAAACTTATGGCAACTTTAGAAAGTCCTTTCTTTCATGTATACTAAGAGAGTGAATATAACTTTTTTTCAAAAGATTTAACCTAATATACGAGCATGCAATATTCCCCATTTGCATTTTATTCTCAAAAGTATTTCATTTACTCATAGAAAATACTTTATGTATGAGATGTGATTATTAAGTAATGAGACTGGCTTTTGCACATGTGGCTAGGGAATGAGAATCAGTATTTTAGAGTCACTAGATAGAAAATTTCCCACACTGAAGAACTGGAAAGAAAAATAAAGAAACTCTCTACCAAAAACTTTAATCCAGGATGGAAAGAACTGACCTAAAAATGAGACTCAGATTCTCTCCCTGCTGTTTTTCAAAGAATCTCAATTATTTGTCTATGTACACAATTCTACCATGGATTTTACTGCTGTTATCATTTTAGCAACTGCATCTTCTCTTAAGTCCTCTTAGTGATTAGTAAAGAGGTAAACACAGACAGATTATACACAATGATGTTACCTTTATCATGCATATTTAAACTTTTTAAGAGATCTTCCCGGATTGGATACTTGGCTTTATAACAGAGCCTTTGAATGCTGGAAGATGTGTCATCGCCTGAAAGTGTAGTAAGATCTATAAAGGTAACGGCTTTCAGGAGCCAAGCAGCCTGGTTTAAAGAAAATAAAAACAAGATTAAAAAAAAATTCATCTCCAACCCACTTAGTTAGAAGAAAATCATTAGACAAACGTGGGTGCTAAAATCTGACCTCTACCCTGTTCTAAGGCATGTCCTTCTCACATGTGATATAAACATTGCTCAAGAGTGACCAACAAGATGAACACTGCATAGAACAAAATAAAAGAGGGATACAAAGTAGCCTTAAAAATTACTTTTCCCGGGTGCCTGGGTGGTGCAGTCAGTTAAGAGTCCAACTCTTGATTTCCACTCAGGTCATGATCTCAGGGTTGTGAGACTGAGCCCCACGTTGGGCTCTGGGCTCAGCACGAAGTCTGCTTGAGATTCTCCCTCTCTCCTCCACTTTCCCCGTGCATGTTCTCTCTCCCCCAGATAAATAGAATCTTTAAAAAAAAATTATTTTTTTCCTTCCATAGCTATCCCAAAGTGAAATCCCTAATGGATCAAGCCTCCCTACACCAGACCTCTCCATCTCCTCCACTAGGGGCCCCTGATGGCTACCATATGACAGAACCTGGGAAGAAGAGGGTCTCTATCTGATATTTTACCTCCAGCCTTGGGATCTGGGATGAAACTCTTTAAAAAAGAGTCTCTAATTTTGTTGTTGTTGTTGTTTTTCGCTTTAATCCAACTCCATTTCTAAAACAATATTCATGGTTCATAACTCATTCTGATGAATTTCCTCTTATCTTTCAATCGGAGTATTTCCAAGGATGAGCAAAACGTAAAATGTCATCCTAAAGGATTCAATCACACTATTTTGCCTCACTTGTGAAATGAACTCTGAATTCCTTTTAGTCCTGTGATGCACAGCACATCTTTGGTCAGTATACACTGAAGGCTATGCTGACCACAAGTACCCTATGAAACATCACTTTTTGAGTTTTGGAAAATGATTTATGAAAATTAATAGTAAGGTAAACACAATGGTCAAAGGAGGTCAACTCTTATGCCTAAGGGCCTCAACAGCAGACACACCAGGTTTAGATGTTATGGTTTAAAAATTAAAATAAAAGACAACCAAAGAAGGTATGTCTAAGGAACTGAATAAATGTGTTGAGGAAATATGCCATTTAATTCACTCATGAATAAAGATGCCTCAAATTCATTTGCAGCTTTGCCACTCAAGAGTGATAAGATTTTTAACTTGTTTGGATAAATGTGTTATCTTTCTCCAACCCATCATCATCATATATGAATTATTAAAAAAAGTCATGGACAGCTGCAATCTTTTAAGTTTAGATGCATCTTGAGTGAAATTCAATATTGTGGCCTTGAGGGAAGAGACCAGGCATTGTAAACTACAGGAATAGAATGCTCAAGAAGAAACCTTACTTGCCACTCCTTTTTCACGGTTCTGCGAGCCTGGATTTGTTCAGCACGCCTCAGAACTGCGGGTTGATTCACTTGTATTTTGGAGATCCAGCTAAGGTCTAAAGGGGAAAGAGGAACACTTATTAAATATATTCACCTATTTTACGTGGTCCTTGAAAGGATATATCATTTTGCATCAAAGCTCTTTTTAAAACCTATGCTTCTCTTTTGCACAATTACAAATAAAGAACCTTGTTGAAAGAAACCCAGCCCTGAAAAGGCATTCTTCATGTGAAATCAAGTACATTTGGAACTGGAAGAACTTGTATTGATTCATTACATAGATATGTCTAACAGGGGAGGAAAATGCTATATTACTTGTGCCACATGCCTCACTTCTGACAGCAAAGACTTATTTGTAAGTGCCCAGTCCAGGAGAACAAATGATTAACAAATACTTAAGTGAATTAATGTTGGGGCTTAAAGGAATCCTTAATCACTACTCCCCTTACTGATAAGATTTATATCTACTAGATGCTGATATGATATGATATGATATGATATGATATGATATGATATAGCCCATGCTTTCCTCAAAAGGGACTTTTCCAGAATGTATTAGAAGTTACAACATTGATAGAACAGAAGTTAGAAAAAGGGAAAGAAAAAAAAACAAAAACCAAGGTGTTCAAAATTCTGGGAGACGTCTCTATTGCTTCTGTTTTAAAAGGCTCTTCCCTACCCCGATCCTACCCTCCATCTCTCTGAGTTAACTACTGTAATTTCTATTTTAAACCCAGCCTACACCTTAGCTTTTGTGAAAACACTGCCAGATCCCCAGATAGAGCTAACATCTGGATACAGCTGTACTATAAAACTTGGATTTAGTTCATCAAGGAGTCGTGGTAAAATGGTCTCCTGTCCTTACTATATTGTGAGTCACAATCTTATCTTTGAGTGACTAACACCAAACACAGGGTGTATCTCAATTGTATTTCAGTTTTATCCACCAACACTCTATCACAACAGTGTCTTCACAGTAAATTGAGCACTTACCCATTTACCTTCTATAACTAACTTCATTTTTATATCCCTCTAGCACCTTCTTAGAAGAGCCTTAAAAAACTACTGTGGAAAAGGAAATATGCCCCAATTATCCACGATGTTCCTTTCTGCAGTTTCAGTTACCCGTGGTCAACTGCAGTCCAAAAACAGATGATCCTCCTTCTGAGGCATCAGAGGGTCATCATAGCAGCCTAACACTACGTCACAATGCCTACATCACCTGATTTCCTTTCATCAGACAGGCATTTTACCATCTCGCATCATCACAAGGGTGACTATAATACGATAACATATCCTGAGAAAGATCACATTCACGTAACTTTTATTATACCATATTGTTATAACTCTTCTATTTTATTATTAGTTACTATTGTTAATCTCTTACTGTGCCTAATTTATAAATTCAAACTTATTACAGGTGTATATGAATAGGAAAAAATATAGTATATATATAGGTAGGGTCCAGTACTGTCCAGAGTTTCAGGCATCCCCTGGGGCTGGTCTTGGAACACAGGTAAGAGGAGACTACCAAACACAGTTCTCTATAACGTGGGGGGGAAACCGCTGATTGCATACTGCACTATGTAACCAAACTAATGGTGGCTCAGATGGTCGGGCCTCTGCCTCCGGCTCGGGTCGTGGTCTCAGGGTCCTGGGATCGAGCCCCGCATTGGGCTCCCTGCTTGGCGGGGAGCCTGCTTCTCCCTCTCCCTCTACTGTTCCCCCTGCTTGTGCTCTCTCGCTCTCTGTCAAATAGATATATGGGATCTTTGAAAAAAAAAACTAATAATAATAATACAGTATTTGCATCCACCACAAAAATAAGACCAAGTTTCTACAAAAGACATTCTCTCTCATTTCCAATTGATTCTTATCAATATTAATATTATAGAAATTCCAAGTCAGAGTCTGAGTGATTATGCTTATTTAAATACCACTGAAAAAGGAGCAGAGTCTGGGTGCTTTTTTTTTTCCTAATTAAATTATTTTGTTAGCTGAACTCATTTAACAAAACAGAGTTTTATCATTTCAATCCATCTGCTCCTCCAAGACACTGTATGGTTTCCTGCTCATCTGCTGAGCCAACATCACAGAATCTAAGGTCAAGCAAATGGTATCTGCCTCTTCTTCCCCAGCCAAAGATGGGTTCTAGGTAAAGCCCAAAGCAATAAGATAGACTCATCCTAATTTATAAGACCTACAAGAACCCCTCTCCACCCAAAGGCAGGGGAGATTCTTTTTTATATATATAAAAAAAAAAAAAAAACCTGTTAATGGTGATTAGGTTTATGGTAAACATCATTTCAGACAATCAATGAGGCAGAGTTGTGTGAAATACAAGGCTCACCACCAAGCAACTGTTGACAGTGGCCAAAAGAGGGAAGCCTGTGCTGGTGGGGCAAGGCTCTGGGGGGCAGTCCTTTATCCATCATATGACCCTTCCTGGATGCCCCTCCCCACATCCTCTCTACTCCCCACCCACACGACCACCATAGGAAGCCTGGCTACTGGAGAGACACCTCTGGCAATCCCAAGACTTCACTACCTGGCTCCCTTTGCCCTCACAGGACCCCTCTTCTCCATTTCTGACCCTCCAGCCCTGGGGTACAGCCTTTCTAAACTACCAGAAGTTCACTGGCAATTATGTCACGTTCCGTCTCTGGACCTGTGCATGCTGGTTATTCCTTCTGCCCTTTGTTATCTTGCCAACAGAGTGAATTCCCACCCAACCTTTAAGACTTAGTTCAAATGCCACCTTCTCTGTGAACTTCCTCTGAACCATACAGGTTGAGCTATTTCTTTGCTTCTATGCACTCAATGTAACTTTATAGTCTACCTTTAGTGAAGGCCCCTTATTCTGAATGCACTAATTTGTCAAAATGTTTCAGTCCCAACAGATTTTTAAAACTCCAAGCAAAGTGCCTGACACGTGGGTGGCATTCAATAAATAAAATGAGTAGTTCCCCGAGCCCAGAAATGATCAAATTCTGGGCAATATCTTTCCCAACTGCTTTTTCTAAAAAAAAAACTTTTAGTGTTTACGTCCCTCCCTGCCAGCTTTATTGAAGTATAACTGACAAAAAGTGTAATGTTTAAGATATACATCTTGATGTTTTGAAATACATCTACATGGTGAAACAATCACCACAATGAAGCTAATTAACGTATCTATCATTTCACACATTTCCCTTTTTTTTTTCCTTTTCTGAGTGGGTTGAGAACATTTAGGATCTACTCTATCAGCAGATTTCAACCAAACAATACAGTATTGTTAACAATAGTCACATTGGGGGTGTTTGGATGGCCCAGTCGGTTGAGAGTCCAACTCTAGATTTCGGCTCAGGTCATGATCTCAGGGTCATGGGATCGAGCCCTGAGTTAGGTTCTGCACTCAGCACGGAGTCTGCTTGTCCCTCTCCCTCTGCTCCTCCAGGCTCACTTCCTCTCTCTCTCTCTCCCTAATAAGTAAAGAAGATCTTTAAAAAAAACAAACAAACATAAAACAATAGTCATGATGCTATACACTGTATCTCTGGAACTTATTCACCTTGAATGATGGAACTCTGCACCCCAACCGCTTCTGATTAAAGAACTTGTGGATCTCGACAAGAGAAGCTGGGACTGAAGCACGAACAGAATACCTGAGGGCATCCACCTTAAAAACTAATTTTTAGTACAATTCCCCACCAAAGGTTAGAACCCACGAGGCCTGCTCTCACACTTCTCAGACACCACTTGCCAGAGGTCCCTGCGAACCACCTCCTGGAGGATGTAATAGGATTACTCTTCTTGCAATATCAGCCTCCACTGTCAAAAATATCATTAGCGGTCATAAAATTATCCGGCCCCATATTTAATCCAGCCACAGAATTTGCCTCTGTGACCTCCCATGGTAATGAATTATATAAGTGACTATCTCATTTTATTAGCACTTAATTTGCTACTCTTTAATTTCATCAAATAACCCCTGTTCTCATATTATGGGGTCTGGGGAAAAGAAAGGACTGATTGGCCTTTGTTATGTCCTTCATAATTTTTAATATTTTATTCGAGTACCCTTTAGCATCTCCTTTCCAGGAGAAGTGATTCTAATGCACACAATCTCATCAGTACCATAGAATCTTCTCTTACAGGGGCCAAGAGGTGTTTCAAGTACACATGCCTTTGGGGAGAAGAGACATGAAGCCATAATTGGAAGGCGATAATACTCTTTTCTCAAAACTCTCCCGTGAAAAATACCCTATTGTGTCTCTTAGTATGTCATTTGGGTGGATTTCGGGCCCTTCTGTCAGTTATAAATTTGTTCTCAAATACTCTTCTCACAATTTTTTATTATTATTATTTTTCCTATGTCTCAGTGGAGACAAATCACTTCCCTACAAATCCACCACGTGGTCTTTCTGCCACGTCCATTGATGCTTCCATGGATGTTCTCGCGCTTCTTCACAATATACCTAAAACACGAACACCAAACGATAACTCTGTGAAAGGAGGTTTATTTTGTATTTTGATTTTACCTTTGTTCCTAATGGAGAGAAATAAATTGTGATATGTTATTAGAGATTCTTTTCTCCCAAATTTGGGAAAAGAAAGATTAAATTTCCCATGTTTTCTCTTTTCATTCTTTCTATTTTCAATTCTAATTTGCAACTTCCCAGGAATCAGCCACAAATTCCCATATGTGCAAGTGCCCAGCATAGAAATAGTTGCTCAATACGTCCCTTGCATCATAGTACATTTATTTTTTACCTCAGACACTGAAACCAGTGAAATATCAACTTGATCATGTCTAGTCTTTCAATCTTAGCCTTGGAAAAGGTTAGCTTGGCTAGAAAAAAGAGCCCTGGACGTCAGTGCATGCCTGATCCATTCAGGCTCAGAAGATACTCAACTTCTATAAATGAGCAGATTCAGCCTTCTCCAGTTCCTAACCAAAGACACAAGACTGGGAGCTTCATCCTTACTAACAGGTAGAAACTAGAATTTGTTTTCTTCCCAAAGTCTAGTCTACCACCCAATAAGCCCCGGGTGAGCTCTCTAGGACACCCATGCC